GTGGATCCACAAATGTAGCAGTAGAAGTGCTTATCTTTATATTCAGACATTTGTTAGATATATACGCAAGATTTAATCCTTCTTGTATATTGTTCTGATGGTCCATTTAAGTCGACTACCAAAATTTATAAAGCATGTTGCTTCTTAGTCAACATTTTACAAATATACGTGCGAAGGTATAAGGGAGAGCTAATGCTTACATTGTAATATATTATTCATACCTTTTTCAAATGAATATTGCAATTTTTTCCCATATGCTGTCATTTTCAGGTAAACTTAAAAGCCATCTTTAACTGAAATAGAATTCAATCTTAATTTTTGTCATTGTTCTAGCACTTATATTTTTTCAGATTAGTTGATAACTTGAGAGATGCTTTTTTATTATACATTGTCTTTATTGGGGCAGAATAAAATTTTATGGTTTCCAACCACATGAGGACTTCCTTCCGATAATGTGCTCAGTGCGCTAATCATGTTTGCATTAGCTAAGCATGTTTAAATTGGACACAGTGCCACTTTGTATTAGTCATAGGATATGTCAACTACAGGTAATAAACGAACCTAAAAATACTGTTAATAGATGGAATTGCTGTAGACATTAAATGACGGTGCTAATATCATGAAAATACAAAATTTTATACCTAATTTGAATTAATATGTTTATTGTCACACGGCCTTTCTTCACTACTGTTTGAAATCAGTTAAAATGTGATCTAAATTTATTACAAAAACACGGTTTTTGATTTGTGGTTGTAAAATAAAATAGTAAAAGTCCGAAATATGTTGTTTTACGATCTGTATTTAATCTGTAGATCATAGAAGGCTGTTTGTTTTACGACAAAAAAGACATCAAACCTAATATTAAAAAAAGAAGCTTAAATAACGGGAAAATGGTGTTTGATTTCTGAATTCTGCTGAGCTTTTACGACTCACCTCCAGTGCAAATTCTAATAAAACAAAATAAAATAGCATGCGACCAAGTTGTGAAGATATCCTGAAGAGCTTCGATTGTTGACATTTTCGAAACCAGTAACTCGCATGAACTTAGTAGCTGCTCTCTGCAAAGAAATAACTCTATGTTCTTGGATTAAAATTACAGCCGATTTATTTTGTTTCAAACACAGATGCGTGCGTTATGTGTTATAGAGCATAACGGGGAAATAGGACTCCATTCTGCACTTACAGTAAGGTTTTGGCGATCGGATATCAGTCGTTGTCTTGGGTAATAGACTGTACGATCATCTAAGTGTAATTACTGATTTGCGGATTATTTTTGTAAAACTAAATACTAATAAGTTTTATCCTATGCTTCGGCTGACAATGCACCCCCTCCCCTCCAGTGACACCGTAGTATGCCTGCGGACTTATACACTTATTCGTGTAGCTTTGTGCTTAATAACGAACAACAACAACAACCGGTTGCTAATCTGCTGCTATCTTCACTGAAATCACTAGAAGAAGAATATCTATGTTATTAGTTGCCTGGATTCGACCTCGGAGGCTTCTTTACGGTGGAAATCTGATCCACTCGATTCAATAATTTCTGAATTCTTGGGTCTAAAATTCTTGATCGTGAAAGTAAGGATCCATATAGCTAATGTTTTATGGATTAGTAACGTATGAGTCGAGTAAACTACAAAGTTCTGCCACTTCCATCAATATCTTGATCGTGAAAGTAAGGATCCATATAGCTAATATTTTATGGATTAGTAACGTATGAGTCGAGTAAACTACAAAGTTCTGCCACTTCCATCAATATCTTGATCGTGAAAGTAAGGATCTATATAACTAATGTTTTATGGATTAGTGACCTATGAGTCGAATAAAATACAAAGTTGTTCCTGACAGATATTCTAGAACTTTCTTATCTAGCACCAAAAATAATATTCTGTCTGTTGAAAGTTTTTAAATATTACTTTAGCCATTTCAGCTAATTAAAGATACGCAGTAGCAGGTTTAGAGACGGCTAATATCTATATTCTCATAATTCAGAAATATCTAATATTACAGACAGATACTCATTAAATGCGCAGAAATATCAAGAAACATTTGAAGAATGGAATAATATATCTAAATTTGTTATATATAATCAATATATATATATTGTATAAATAGATAGCTTATAAGGCTATACATAAGAATCCTAATACTACAAGTACAACGTGGAAAACATATTTGTGTAACTATGGAGTGTTTCACAAAACACGGTTTACAATTTTTTTTTTTATTTTAAGAAAGTTTACGACACGCTCTGTAATACTACTAGGAGCTTTGATATATAAACTTTTAAATTCCCTTATGTCACAGTTACTGCTAACCGTAAATACGATAGATATTGAAGAGTTTCAAAAAGAGGTTTTTTTTTGTTCTCACCTCCAGATTCGAGAGGTTCGTAAATCATGTATGGTTTAAGTTAATGTCACTTTAAAAGTAGATACTTAAAACCATACAGTCTGTTAACACTAGTTACCTGGCTTGTACATATAATGAGCCGAATTGTACAGATTGCTCTTCAAAAATGATGAGTATGAAAATAAAATGCAATTGCAGCTATCATTATTGACTTATTGATAATTATTAATCAAGGGTTAACCAAGTTTATAGATCAAGGATGAAATCAGCTTAGGAATTAATGAATTCAGTTCTATATATAAAACTGACAGAAATAAGTCAATACACAAGAAAACCAAAACCTATAATGATTAAACTTTATATGATAATGATCTGTTTACCCTCACTGTTAATGGTATTTTGGTCGTAACTTGGATAATATCTCACAGTTTAGGATTTATTTACTAAAACCTGATGTTTAATTCCCTACGGTGGACACAAGAGATAGCCCAATGTGGCTTTGCTCTAAAACAAGTACATATATTAAAAATGCAAAATAACCTTTATAAGCATAAAAATCAATACAAAATACCATTGAAAACTAAGAGAATTAATTTGAAGAATTGGATTGTATCATGATACCACGTCTCTAATTCGAGTTATAAAGAGACATCTTTGAAATTTGGTTTAGTTAAGCAAACTAGACATCACTGAGTTAGTTTCAGAACTTTGAATAATTCTTAAGAAAATAAATTCTATCCAGCATCTTTCTTTGATTTCATTCCGATTGTTAAATTCTGAAGTTTTCCAATATTTACTATAAATTAACGTAATTAAGGTCCAGCTAATATTTTTCTTCAAACGTACGCCCAGCTTAATTTATTGCCCAGCTATTGAAGTACTCCAGTGGGCCAGTGGTAACTTTATAGATTTACAACACTAGAATCAGGAGTTCGATACCTCGTAATGGACAGAGCGCAGATAGCTCATTGCTAAGCTTTGTGCCGAAACAAACAAACAGTTATTACATTTTTCAACCATATTCCTGATAATTTAGGGATCACAAAAAAGAATGATTCTGATCCTTGTCTCCTGTTACAGACTTTTTTCGTAATTGTTCCAAACCCAATATAGTAGTTGCATCAACGATAAGTTAATTATTTTTTGTCGTGCGATTTTGTAAAGCGCAATAAACCAGTTCATTTTCACACTTAGGATTTAGTCACTTCAACATGATATTAACATGTCTTTGAAACTATTTCAAGTGACTGTAAAAGAACATCTTAACGAGACCTAAAGCAGTACTACTGATTTTATGAGATACGCAAAACTTTGAATAAAAGGAATACACAAAATTACTGATATTATTTACAAAGAAACTAAAGAAAAATCAGATAATGAAGTTTTGTAAATAAAGTTGACTAAGTAAATAATCAAGAGACACAACAACTTTTAATCACCTTCATTTATATGCAGAAAGAAAGTAAAATTTCCTTTTATAAACGTCATTAAGTAAGGAAAAAAAGTAGTGAAATAACATTTTGAAATATCTGCTTGAATATACAAATTTAAATTTATTTTATAATAAATTTATATTGATATTCGTTCGCAAAGGAAAAAGAAAATGACAGTTTTCGAAACGTGTCTCTATATGTAGAGGAAAATAAAAGCTCCATAATGTATACTATCATGCATGTAGAAATGTTTATAAATATACATATAGAAAAATTAAAATATGAGTTTTTAAGTACATACAGCTATATGTTGAAGAAAAAGATATGTTTATTAGAAATTACTTAATATAGCATTAAAGTTAGTTAACGATTTAAAATTGCATAATATATATATGTAACTTATTTTGAGTAAGCTGCAAATGGTGTTTCAAATATGTGTAATAAATCTACAATTCAGCTAAAGCTAATGACATTGTTAAGTATTTCTGTGCGACATTGAATATGGTAGTCGTCACGTTTTAAATACACGAAGCAATAGCTATAAAAAAATTGCGAAATTAATTTTAAAGTCTTCGATTCCGTAGGGAAATAAATCCAGTTTAAACTGTTTTCTAATTTGAAAATATGAAGAATATTAAAAATAACCAAAGGTTATACAGGAGTAAATGCTGGTAACTTTTCAGATATGTGTATCTAAGAACTGATATTTTTATATCACGTACAACTTCGACGAATTAAGTTTTAGTTTCAATAAATCATTTTTTCTTTTTTGTTTTCGGTGGTAAAATGATTTAAATATTTCTCATACGAATCAACGATTTTTTATATTAGATAGATCTAAGAAAGTTCTTCAAACTCCAACAGTAAATCAGTTGTTTTAGAAAAGATATTTTGAGTCGTGGTTTTGAATTTGATTATAAAGCTTTTTATTAGGAACAATAAAATAATTCTCATTACTTTTGAACACACAAAATCTAATATTTTCTCAAAATACAACCTATATGGAGAGAATCGTCCTTCTTTCAAACATACTTAATATGGATATTTTTTGTTTGGAAGAAAACCCACATTTGTGTTTGTTTTTGGACATTAGGACTCACTGAATGTTGACCGAAGTGTAAAATCATACAGAAGTTTCAAATGTTTAAGATGTTTGATACATAAAATCATATTACCTGAACACGAACACAGTGTGGAGGTGTTATTTTTACTTACCTTCAATATATGCTCCCATACTTGGCTGGAGCAGAAGAAGTGCTATAACAACACTGTAAAAGTGGCTCCTTTTCACCAAGCGTGAAATCTCCATACTAAGCTGTAAACGAATGTTGATGACCCTTCAAAGATCTAAAGCAGACCAATGATTTTTTTTTTTTTTGTGAGCGGTAAGACGCTTGGAATTGAAGCTTGGTCCTGGTAGCTCACTTCAAAGTGCGAGCTCATTTATAGAGCAACCGCTGGTAAAGTGGTTTGTCTCGTGGGCGTCCCACGTGCAGGTAGCTCTCTTATTCTTTGTACTTATGTTTCATTGGTTAAGACAAAAATGTTGGCGATATGAGCGCGAATTGCAACACAGCATTATTATTGGATTTTCATTCTGAAAAACAATGTGTCTTAGCTGCTTCTTCAGTTACAACTTAACAAACGAAACTTGTGTTGTTGACGTATTGTAGCACTTGATGAAACACGAAGGTTTAAAAATATTTTTTTCTTCTGAAAATGACAGAACTACTAATCCACGAATAACAATACTTCACCTCTATTACCATTGAAAATAAAGACGTCTTTACCAAACTTGTATGGCTACAGTTTGAAATATTAGCAGAAATACTTTGTGAAGTATGTTTACTGAAAGATCGTTTCAAAGAAGCTTACAGCATTGAAATACCAACCCTGCAGTCCTAATACAGTTACACATATTTCATATGTCAACATTTATTTTAACCAACGTTTGACTACACACCACATAAAATTAAGTATTCCCGTTTCACCACAAATAAATGGGAACTAATTGTAACACCCATATATTTTAACTTCAGTGGATTTGTAGCAAAAATTAGTATTAATTTCCGATCAGAACAAGATACCCACTTAGAGTAAAACTAAAAATCAATCCTGCAATGAATATAGTTAACTAAAGGTTGTTTTTTGTTTCCCATTATTACTTATAAAGATTAAAATTTGCAGTTTCACTAGTTAGGTATTTCGCTGTTAACAATATCGGCTGTAAACCCGATTAACATCTCAGAAGGTTCAGCCAGCTTTAGAGATTTAGGTTAGTCCTAAATCCATGTACTAAGCTAACAATGAAAACAACCTCTCTAGTAGAAGTATAATAATAAAAAAGTATGATAATGAAAAGTTTTAAAGATAAACACGAACAATGTTAAAAACTATTTTTACAGCTTGCAGGGAATTGTAATTTATTCATTTCTAAAATGTTAAGACCAAAGAGTACGTTAAAGATTAATGTATCATCGTCATTTTATAACATGGAAATAATACAGGCAAACTATATATAGTTATACCAGAAGTTCCCGACTCTAAGTGTATTCATGAGTAAGGAGACACCTGAGAGCTTTGAATTTGGGTAACACCAATTATTGCAAGTACGTGAATTGTTATTCAGAGTTTATCAAAAGTTGTTTTAAGATATTGATTTTGTAACTGATACAACATAAAATAAATGCCACATTCTGATAAGCTAAGTTTAAGCCATTGTTTCATTAACTCAAAAAAAATTTTCAACTAGTAACACAGTGTAATGACAAACAAGGCATTATCATTTCATATTATGTTGTATGCAAAGGTTGAGGATGAAAAAGTTTATTTACGCATCGCCATCTAATTAAAGAAAACGGTCAAAGTAATAAAATAGGTGTTATGTACATAAAATTGTTAAGTTTGAAATGAAATTATGGTAGAATTAAGTATAAACTTTAATAAGAAGGAATTCTCAATAGCTGCAGCTGTAATTAGATCTCAAATCGGTCAAGAGTCGGAGCTATGAGCTAAAAGTTTGTACTTGAAAGAAAAAAACAACTAGTAGCCATTCTATGAGTCGCTATGCCATGGCTAAACACAGTAAGAAAAATATAGTCTGTAAAAAACCAAAAATAACTGTAAAAACAATACGTTATGAATCCAGAAAGGTACATACGGTATACATATATATGGTTCAGTTTTGAATTTTTCGCAAAGGTATACGAGAGCTATCTGCGCTATCCGTCCCTAATGTAGCAGTGAAAGACTAGAGGCAAGGCAGCTAGTCATCACCAACCACCGCCAACTCTTGGACTACTATTTTACCAACGAATAGTGGGATTGACCGTCACATTACAACGCCCCCACGGCTGAAAGGTCGATCATGTTTGGTGGAACGGGGATTCGAACCCGCGACCCTCAAATTGGGAATCGAGCGCCCTAACTACACACACACACACACACATGTATATATATATGGAAATAAAATACGTGTTGCGTACTTTTTCCTTCAAGGTTCTGTGCACGGTCTAGTTGTATCTTCTTTTCATATCGCCCCCCCTCCAGGGGCACAGTGGTATGTCTGCGGACTTATACCGCTAGAAACCGGGTTTTGATACCCGTGATGGGCAGAACACAGATATTCCTCTGTGTAGCTTTGTGCTTAATAATAAACAACAACAACAACGACATCATTTTATACGCAGTTGGTTAATATTATAATCATTTTTCTGATAAACGCGTATCACCGTAATCATGTAACTTAATTGACGTTTAAGAACTCATCACGTTTAACATATCTCGTTCCAATCATGATCGATAACTTTGGAACAAAATATTTTCAATCTTCAGTGAACAGCAAAGTTGCTCAGTATCGTGTCAACACTCACTCGTGATTCACCCTCTCTCTATCATGATCGACGAGTTTGAAACAGAATATTTTGAATATTCAATGCACAACAAAGTCGTTCAGCACTGTATCAATACTCACTTGTGTTTCACTTTTTCCTTCATCTAACACCTACGTGTAACCTGGATACTTCACATTGTTAGAGGTTCAATTATGAAGTTACATGGTAACATTCCATTCTGTAGAAAGTTACATATTTATTAAGAAACTGCTTATACTAGATCAATATTATATATCCCTCATAATGTATAAATATGCAAACAATAGTTTTACTAACATAATCAAGCCATAAATAGTTTATCTGATACATATATATATCATGTATAAATATGTAAACAATGGTTTTAAGAACATAATCAAGCCATAAATAACGTATTTGAGATATATCAAAGAACAAGAACAAAAACTAATTTCTCTGTAATCGAGCACATCAAGATGTACATACTGTAACTCGATTTATGTACGTGCTATACTTTTAATTAACTTCGTGATGTACATACTATAATATTTTGTATATTAATATTCTAATGTACTGTAAATAATTATATGCTGTTAATATGTGTTTATTATCCGCTTACAGCAACTTTTTTTGTTTACACTGTGCATATTTTGAAATACCCTAATGTAGATCTAAAAATATACGAGCCGCATTACTCTACAGATTTAACTTAGGCTTGAGTTTATTAATTAATAAACTCTACTAAATGTACGGTTCTTGTTCGTTATTAGTCCTAGCGAGGGTTTTAAATTGTCCTCTATTTATGGGCTCGTGACACATGTACAACGCGTATTTCTTAGTACTTGAAAACAACGTGGAGTATATTCTTGTATACAGACTTTTAGCCACCTAGTGGTGATACTAATATGACATACGGAACATGAAGGACATTTCTATGAATTAATATGCTCGAACCATAGTTAAACTAACAGAACAGTGCGGTTCGTTTATTATTGAGTTTATGAGAGTTAGCGTTATGTAAATTTATCTAGAATTACAACATTCTTATTGCGCAGGAAAGCTAGTATTACAGTCGTTCCTAATAGTGAGCTTTGCTAATTGATACGTTGCTTTGCCTCATCTACATTTTAAATCGTTAGTGTTTATACATAAAAGAACCATAAACATATACTTCAATTCATTTTGTTAGGAAAACACGCAAGTTCGAAAACCAATTCAAGGCAAAAATGCAAAATTCTATAACCCAAGTACTTTCGAAAGGTTGACCTTTCTTTATCATATGCAAGAAGGAAATATAATTTTTTGGAATGTTCCCTAAAGAAAGTTCCATCATTCGAGAGAATAAACGTCAACTGTCACCTGATATAAACCAATAGTGCTTTGCCTAACTAAGTACAGCAGATTTACTAATAGTTTTGTAATGTTTCAAAAGCTATTCTTTTGTTAGCAGTAACGTTTCTTACTGACTTTTTTTATGCGATGCCTTTATCATGTCAGACTTTATAATATTATTCAGCATTATGGCTCAGAGTAAATCAGAGGGCTTATAACGCTAAAAATTGGTTTCGCTACCCGCAGTGGACACAGAACAGATATACCCATTGTGTAGTTTTTCGCTTAACAATAAACAAACGAACAAAATTATTTAACTACACCCACCACAAGTTTTCAGGTTATCATATTAAAACTTCACTCATTTCTAAGTTGATATTTGATCGACTGAGGAAATCTCTGTTATTGGTATTTATTACCATAAAATACCCGCGCTTCCTTGCGGAGTTCAAAGGTCCCTCATGGTTCACAGAGGTTCCAACGTTCCGATCAAGTTTCTTCATTATTCCCGGTCACTTTTATATATATATTCAAAAGCAGGAGTCAGTACCCGAAAGAACAAAACAAGAACAAGAAAAATTTAGGCTATCCAAACGTGGTACCTGAGTACTTGGGCCAAGTGTGGTCTCGCTGGAGTGTAGGTGGAGGTATGGGCATAGCTCAAACGTGGCGACCTTTGGTTTCTGAGGGCGCTATAAATACAAAATACAATGCCATATTAGGGATTAGTGTCCCTAAATACCTTCTCTTAGACCCCATCAAGCCTGAGTGATATTGCGAGCTTGTTTAGCCCTCCTTGAAAGGGGACTATATTATATAGATAAGTACATCCCCGTGCTACCCAGGTCTGCCTTTGAAGTTTGGTCCTGCTAGCTCTGGAACTGTAAAGCTATAAGCTGAAATATTATAGGGTATACACGTAATACTACATTTATCGTTGGCATTTTTTGGGGGGAGGGCCTTAAAAATGTATTGTAATTTGAATTAACTAAGCTTTTTTGGGGGGGAGGACTTACAAAATGTATTGTGATTTGAATTAACTAAGCATTATTTTTGGGGGCTTACAAAATGTATTGTAATTTGAAGTAAGGATAATTTTTTTGGGGGGGGGCTTACAAAATCTATTGTAATTTTAATTAACTAAGCAATATTCTAAAGTAAAGTTTATTACAAAATACTACATCTCTTTCTAATTTTGGAGGATTTTCTCTTTAAAACCATTTTCCTGGAGTGGTACAGATCACACCACTTCT